CGTATAGCTACGATATTTCTGTTGACGTTTTTTTAAGAGAATAACTCTGAATCCATTTCACCATTGTCATCGTGAATATAATATCGTCCAAAATATAAATTCGTGCCAAATTCAGGTGGATTGCTAACGGTTTTCAATTTCAAAATCTGTAAGTTGGTGAGTTGATCACCATAAATGCATCTTGTGCAGCTATATTCTGTTAGTCTGTCTATATCCGCAAATATTTGCATTTAAAAGTTAAAAATTGCTAATAGAACTAATTTGTGTCAGCTGATCTAAATACATAGGTTAAAAGCATGGAAATTTTGTATACATTCTAAGGTCAGACAATAACAATCTAAGAAACGCCTTAATTATAATTTATCTCGAACGTGGAAATTGACATGGCCTTATCTGTCTCCAAAATATTAAAAGCGTATAGCGATTCTGGGTAAGGTTACACTTAACTAAATGCAATAGATAGAAAAGTTAGCTAACTAAAATACCTCGCGTTGTCATTAACGACAAAGGCAATATATAATAAATTACAAGGCACTTTACAATTGATTGCACATAGCAACTTCTTTATTTCACATAATCAATTGTACAGCAATTCGTCACGACAGTAGCAAATATGTACGACGTCAATGGGAAAAGACACACACAAAGGCACAGATTATCTGCATTATGGCTGCTTTGGTATTACCAATATCAGGCCAAAATCAAGTTAATTCAAACTTACTTTTACCATTAAATGGGTTTCGGATTGCGATATGTTAAAGAAAGATAAATAATTAAATTAAAAAATATAGCATAACCTAAAAAGAAACGTGGTTATCCAAATAAGGAATCCTATGAAAATAACTTTAGCTCGGAAAGATATCAACAATAAACTATTCACGTAAACACGTTCACATTATAATTTCGGCAGATTTAACTGGATGACTTTTGATTTTCCATTTGACAACGGGAAAAATGATATTCCCAGTCCACATTCGGACCAACGCACCGAGGCGCATTCAGTCAGATACTCCAACTATGGGTATATTCGACGCAAAAACAGAACACAACCAGGTTCATTCTGATACGGCAATTACATTTGAAAGCAAGAGGTTGCGTGTGTTGCGGGTTTCAAAAATTCAACCAACAAAAAATGTTCATTTAAATGTACCGGGAGTTTTTTCGGGAGGGATTAACTATTTGTGTTGGATCAAGAGATTTTAGTTAAAAAACAGAGTATATCCGTGTCTGCAGCCGAAGCAGATAGAACATAGTCCCGGATAACATAAAAACTGCTTTGGTAGAGACCTTCTAACCCTCTCTGATACTGTATTGAAAAAAACGATTACACAATAATACATTTTGGATATTTTGTTGTAGGCAGCATTTTAGATTGATAATTTGGACACCAGCTATGCATTTTTCTATGTCCTAACTGATAGAATTGATAGTAAACCCTGCAGTAATTGTATCTCCGGTCCATCTCAATAACAAACATAACTTGTTCTTGGATAAAGACATTATTCGAATATGCGAAACACCAAAACTACTTTTATTCGAGGTGTGTACATACAAAATCACATTTAAATTAAAAATCGGATTGCGCATGCGCAAAATACATGTTTTAATTTGCCATTAATTGTACTTTTACTTGAGGTGCCTACATACAAAATTTCATTTAAATATCTCAACAAATGAAAAAATCAGATTGCGCATGCACAAAACAAATTTTTTGAATCGGCATTCGTTTACCTTTTATTCGAGGTGCCTAGATACAAAATTTCATATCTTTCAGTTTATCCATTACTAGCGGAGATGTCAAAATGGCCTTCCTTATTTTTTGGCGTACATTTCCAATTCGCGAACTCCGATCTACAAATTTGGTAAAAAATCCATCAGTTCTCTTTTAAATTGATTGACATGAAACCATCGAGCGAGCGAGTGTCCTGACGTTTAAAACTCAACGACAAAATTGAAGGGACGGTTTATGCTTTATTTTGACAACGAACCTACTGTCCATACTCGCTTCAGATAATATTTTTTTCAACGATATGATCAAAAAATTAGTTCCACTAAAAGCGTGCGTACCTACGAGTACCTTTTCAAAACAGTACTCCGGCCTTCCCGAGGTATACACTTATCCCAACGGTGTTTCCACTTTTGAAAACAGTCCTGAAACGCTTCTTTTATGATGTCACTCAGCTCCTTCGCGCCATGATATCCCACAGTATTCAGCAAGCTCACTGATGGTCACACTTCCATTTGCTCAAACCAGGGTGTTGAGTTTGTCGACATGTGAATCGTCAATTGACGTGGAAGGACGTCGCGGCTGCTCATCGTGTTTAATCGACTGACGACCATCTGTGAAACGCTCATGCCGCTACTAAAAAAGGTCTTGAGCATATCAAAAGTTTCTCCCAGAGATTTTCTGAGTTCAAGTCGGACAAAGTAGCGTGTGTCGAGGATATTCATCCCGCAACACCCAACACGTGATTTACTCAATCGGAAAATTCGATTCCGGAATATTTGTTCCGGGAATATTTTCTTTGGCAAAATGCATATCAATTTGTTAGTCCGGATGTATTAGTCATTCACCGATCGAGAATCTGTCGCATAATTTTACAAAATGTTGGTACAGTGGTCTTCACTGTTAAATGTTAGTCCCGGGACTCATAGTTTACATCTACATTGTATACGTTAAAAGTTGTGGTGCAGAAGTGACTCAAACCCGTTATTAATGCATGGTTTTTGTTGAGAAAACGACCGTACGACAATGGAGCCTATTTTGATATTCGTACTAGATACTGGTACACCCAAGGAAAAGTTCATCTCTAGGAGTTGTTCCGTTAAATTCAACCCTTTCATCGCATCTGGAATATTTATGCCTAAGAAAACTAGCCCAGCCTTCTTCCTTAAGATAAAGCGCCGTTTATCCAACGCCCACGTTTCAGAATAAAAAAGTTTATTGTAAAATTCTTTAGTTTGATTTTACACACTAGGCTGTATCTCAGTAGAAAGTTTATGATTTTTTCAAAACCGGAGGGAGATTGTAACTATTTATTGTTCCATCTAATTTAAGTAAGTTGCCACAGAAATAGAATGGAACCCTAGAATTGAGTACATAGTAGGTAAACCAAGGGCGTGTTTTCTTGAAAGAATTTGTTTCACTCCTAAAGATCCAATTTTCACGCATATGAATTTTTCCTTAGGAGTAAGTTTATCCGTATATTCCAACAGGGACGAACTCTTCTGACCGAGTTTGTTACGAGCGAATTATTTTCGGAGAGTGAATACAGAGAGCTGATTGGTATATCACTGTGTTTTCCAGAAACCATCGATAAAATAGGAAAAGCTGATCGAAGTGCATTTATAATTCTTCATCTCTCTCATCGCGGCAAACCTTTGATTTTTATATGGTGAATAAAACTGTCGAGTTAATGACCTATTGCCCTATTTCTCCGATTTATCCTTTTATTTGCAAATTGTTAAAGTATAAAAATGCTTTGCAAAATAGTTCCAACAGCCCTCATTTGCCTTGCACAATTTGAATGAATGAACGAACGAATGAATTTGTACAATATTCTACAATACAATGGCGCGAGGTTAAAATCAAAGATGTGGATGCGCATTCTTGAATTTATCGCAGTACAATACGATGCTGTCCACAGTTGCTTCAACAGGTTGCAACTGAAGCAAATCAACTTGTGCAGTTATGTTTCCAATATTTGTTAAAGCATTGAATAAAAAAATGAGGTATTCAATGATAAAAAATTTGAATTTTTTTGACGTGTTTAATTAGAACTGCAAATCCTTCAAGAATTTATTTTACACTATGATACAACGCGGGGAAAGTTGAATTTGTTTCCACCGTGATTCGAATCGTACATCAGAAGAGGCTTCGACGAGCCAGATGATGACCAGTCCCAGGTGGCCCACTAAGCACCAAAATCCCCATTGCATTTCAGTAATTTTATTTAACCTCGAATGCAGCTGCACTTTTAACATTTTTATTAATACGTCTTATCTAGTACAGTTGTGCAAAAAAGAAATTAAAGCTCGTTAAATTTTTATGTAAGTAATTGCAGGGAGATAGATTAGAAAAGCATCACGTAACCGTTGTACAATTTGTAAATATAAAGTGGACAGTGATGGCCACGTGGCAGGATTATTTCGGTCGCGTGTCTGTTTTTTGTTACATGTGCAAGCTATATCTGTTTGCATGCATATATCGTATCAACTGCAGTAGCTAATTCAGACTCATCTAGTTAATGGGTTTCCACTCTAGTTTTTCAAGATACCTACAATGGAGTTAAATATTAAATTTAATTTGCAACTCTACAATGCTCGGCGTTGTGCATTGCAAATACAGTTTATATCGAATTTGGATTCAATTCCGTTTAGTAATACAATGGGAGGTAATTTTGGATTAAGTGCGTGTGCGTTCGGAGGGGTTGTTATACTCAGCGGGAGTCGCGCTTTCTTTTGCTGGAAATCGTGCAAACATACAACCGCCGACAAAGCCGCAGTTTATTAGTCAGTTTGATTAGCCTACTCAATGACTGGCATAAGCTGCTAGTAGGATTGACAGAAATCACTGGACTGGAAGTTGTCGCCCAACAACCCCCAAACAGCAACGATCTTTTGACTTTTGTTAATCAACATTACCTACAATAATGTTAGTAAAACGGAAGCGACAGGTCGTCGTGGTTAACCGTTATATTGCAAGATTGCATGCAACGGTTTCAGTTACGAATTGGTCTACGATCTTGAGGGAGTTCTAGACGTCCATTTGCAACACCGCGATATCCGTCTGCCCGCAAGATGTCTTCTTCCCCTTGTCTATTTACGTCCCACGGGAAACCATTTTGTAGCTATCCCCTTGCTATCAGCAGTATACAATTCGAGAACGAAAATTGCGATGGACTCGTTTGGCATGATCGCGTTTTCAAATAATATCATCCTATAGGTATTCTCAAATTTCGCCGACAAGTACTTAAACTAATTGACACTAATTCTCTTACCTGTCTATTATCACAGGATCTGAGGGAGTTTCGTTACGGTTTCCGCAACTTTTCTTGTCGCAGCATCGGCTGAAAACAAAACAACCTCGTATTAGTCGGTGGCACGGTCAAATTTTCTTTTCGATATTGAACCTTCAAGTTTTAACATAAATGAGAATGCACAATGGTGTGTGCCGAGATTGGCGAATAGAAGCGATGTTTGTTATGGAAAGACGGGGGAAAAAGACAGACTCCCCCGGGAGATCCCTCGCTCTCCTCCACCCGCAGGCATTATGTAAGACCATAGGGGAAGATATTTAGGGCTCCTTGCAAGTACATCATCGGAACAATCACGCCATTCGTCTTCCCAGAAAAATTTATAGTAACATTTTAAATTCCGTTTTTGTACTGCATTCTTAAAGCGATCCAATGAAACCAGATAAATCCGGAAACGTTAAGAACTAAATATTGTTTGCGTGGCTCTTTACCTTAAAATTATCAAAGAAAACGTGCGGCATGTTAGACATCCACAACGAAACTGTAATATAACTTTACCCATTATTTCAAAGTGAAACAAAACTAAATGACTTTAAGTCTTCCGCCGTCTCTCACATTTCGCTTACGTCAACAATAAAATTGATTTTATAATTACCTGCACATCACTTCATGCGTAAGTAGCACGCGGCACATTTCTGGATTCTTATCCTGCCCTTCATATATGATTGCCTGCAACAGAAGAGATGTAGTTAAATTAAGGTGCACTCGGTTAGAGCGATGTTTTAACGTAAAACCGAAATTAATTTGGCCGGTAAGTTGTTTGCAAATTTGTATCTGAGTAAATGTTTATGAAAGGTCAACTAACGACCGATCATTTAAATGAGCCTGAAAAGGGAAGCGAAATTTGCATACACGTATACTGAATGTGTTTATTATAACGTTTGTACACGAGTTATAGTAAAAAAAAGTTTTAATTCAATTTACTGTTCACCGTTAACCTTTTCAGCGGTAGTTAAATAATCTTAAATCGTCCTTATATAAAATTGCAGTGATACATTCGGATTCGTTCAGCACTTTATTTTGTATTAGGCTGTGTATAATACTGATTGAGAAAAGAAATAAAAATAAAAAAATTATCAAAGTCCTCGTGTGAGATCGAAGAGACTTCAGCGCATTTTCTTGTGGTAGATCAGTGTTCTACGAGTATTCATCAGTAAGATCTTGTCGGAGGTAACCGCATTCCCTTTGTCGGTACCCGGCCCGACGTCCCGTTCACCCGCAATTCTCATTTTGGTGGATTTCGCTAAAAACCTAATACCTAAAACCTAAAAGTACTCAATTTTTGGGCTACTTCTATAATAGCTCGAACGTATTCCATGGCATCACAGATTATTGAAAAAGATGCCGGTTTTATTTTTCCAATTTTCCGTCTTTATTATGCAAAAAATTGAAAACTAATACGGTTGATTGGAATAAAAAAAAATTTCTACAAAAAACGTTAACACATTTTTGCTCTAAAATAATTTGGGGACTCAATAATCGCATGTTATGAATTTTACATTGAAATCCCTATGATGCGTTACGCAAGTCACCACCCTGTATACTGTGCTATATCATTTTGTAGATAATTTTATGCTGTTTAATTCTCTGGAATAAAGTGCACACGTTTTCTAATTATTCACGAAAAACTAAAAAAAGCGACCTTTAAACCCTCCCCCCTCACTTAGCTCATACCCCACCCATCAGTACTTTTAGTATGTTGTTCAGGATACCTTCCTCTACATCTGTCCCAAAAATGGCTTCTACACGTTTTTTTCCGCTATTTTTGCTTCATTGCCTGGACTAAAAGCAAATTTTACACGAAATTCGGTCGGGGATTATCGTATATATCAAACCCGCTACGTTACCGACAGTTCGAACATGGTTAACTGATAATATTTATTGCCATTACATGCTATTTATATCGCAGATATTACTTCCTTAACCACGTCGATTACGTTAGTACGCTTGTTTCATTATCTTGCGTTTTGCTTCCTAGTAAGTCTACATATATTCTAAATGAACACCTTGGACCGCCAGCGGGCGGAGTGACTCGAGTCTTGATATTTCGACTTCCAGATCAATTCCCGTTTCTGTTGGTGGTGGCTTGCTTGACCAAGTTTTCCAGAAATTTCTAGGTTCTGCGTTGTCCATTCCCGTGATGTTGAAAGAGTGTGCCATATTGATCTGTACTGGTGGGAGGTCCCATTAACGGTTGCACCGTGCTGTGGTTGAATCGCAGACAGCGTTCACTTGCTCACAATGTCCCGTATTTACGTCGCACCAATGTAAGTTAGTTTCCGCCATGAAGGGATCTGGCATGGGCATCCTTTACGAATAGTGCGGTCAAATGTCTTTTTGGAGGGGATATTTTTCTTGTGTCGACATGCAGGTTGAATTCGTTAATCTGCCCCCTACTCTTAATGGTCCCATTGCATCCAGGAAGAGACAGTGTCCTGAGTTTACTTTTGCGAGGCAACTCTTCTTCATACTGTAAAAGACTGATCTCCACTAGGTAATGTTACTCCCTGTAAGAGCTGTGTGAGCTGTGTTCTTAGAACCCTCTTTGAGTTGACTTTCTTCTTACATTTCGCGACAAATCTTCGGCATAATGCTATTAAATTTATCATCTTGTCCAGGGAGGAAAACCTGGTGGTGATAGACTCCTGTTTCTATATGTTCAATGAGGTTACATTCTGGGACTGTTGTAGTGTCACTCGCATTCTCCTGTTTCTGTATGCTGAGTGAGGTTACCTTTCTTCTTGCTTCTTCACGTCTTTCTGGAACTGGTGTGGTGTCCCTCGCACTTGGTGATTCTTGGAGCCAACGTGGTCCGTGCCACCCCAACTCACTTGTCCGTCCAGAGCCGATTCAAAAATGTATCTCGAAAAATCAGGTTCCACATGGTTCCAGATGGTTTTCTCGGTCACGGAGTGAATTTCGCCAAATCTGCTCCCCACGAAAATAGTTAATTTTTCGGTGCTAACTTTTGATCCATGCTCATGCAATCATAGAGTCTGACAATGCGAATGTCTGCGTGTATCCCAGGTTGAGGGTTTTCTTGGTTTCTGTTAAGAGCTTGGCCCCCAGTACTGCTCCATAGAGCTCCAACCACGGTAGCGCCTTCTTCATTTTGATCGGGGCCACACTAAATTTGGCTGTTAACATCGATGCTTTTATTTGCCCATTTGCAAACATCACCCGGCTGCATATCACGGCGCCGTAGGCCCTTTCTGATACGGCACAGAAGGCATGGAGGTCGATGGTTACTTTTCCGTCGTAGTGGATCCATCTTGGGATTTCGACCTGTTCTACTTCCGTGAGATCCTCTTGGAAGGTATTCCATTTATCCATCAATCGGATTGGAAGTTTCTCGTACTACTCAATGGCTTCTCTCCAAAGCTCTTGCATAAACAGTTTAGCCCGTATTACCCTGGGAGATAACACTTATCGTTTGGTAGGTGTTTCGATCAACTGATGTTCAAGGACCTTCCGCAGCTTCTTGGTTGTACGACCCCGTTATTAAGTCGTTCATATGGAAGTTTTACGATTACCGATGTTTCTGGGAACTGCTCAGTTTCGTCCTTTGCCAATTGTCCCAGTGTATAGGCGGTTGCCTTTTTCTTTGTGTCCCTGAACTCCTCAGGTTATCTCTACTCTTTGATGTTCTCTCTTGATACCTTCTCTCGCATTGTTCTTATTCCTGCGATAGTACTGCCTCTTGGCTTTGGACATTTCGTCCGTGATAGAAATCCAGCTGTATAGATATACTTTCCTCCCTGGCGACCTTTGTCTTCCCCGAAACAACCCAACCCACTTCTGTATTAAAATGAATCCTTCTTGCGGTTTTTTTAGCTCTTGTTTTACCAGAAATGATGTTGATTGAGTCAGGAACGTTGTAGTGAGGGTCGGCTAAGTGCCTCTTTTTTATGTACTTGGATGCGAGGTCCCGGGGTGAATGGATCGGTAATGATGAAGTGAGATACTTCATGATCAACAGCTGGCTGTTGAATCTGAACCTACTCGGGAACCTGGAATGGATCTCGACCTTGATTTTTACTCGCCCCGGGCCTGCACCAGTCAGCCCTACGCCGGATACCTCCACGGAAATTTCATTAATGAACAACCAGCTGATTTTCTGAAAACTTATACTTACGAAGTGGGAAGATTTTGCGGGAAACAAAATATAAATAAAATGAAGGTCAAAATTCGACTCAAAATTAATGAAAACTAAACAATACCTTATACGTCGTTTTATTACTAAATATTGTTTTACAGTCTCTCGTGGATGACTTCTTTTGATTTTGATCTCATTTCTTAGATTAATTCCAAAAAATGGAAAATTTATTGAACTAACATTCTTATTTGTCGACCAATTTTTTTTGAAATTTCAGCAGTGCCATTTTCTATTAAAAGCAAGCCAATTCCTTACTGCAAAGATGTCCAAAGTTGGTTGCGTTTCGCGAATGGCAGAACCAGCTCTGTTATGTAGAACCAACTACAATTTATAGTTTTACGTTTTTTGGGAAATTTTTGTTCAGTAAAATTAAATTCGTTTGGAAATAAAACGTATAATATACAGGCTGATTCCAATTCGATGACCACCATGGGGATCTCAGGAACTGCAAGAGATGGGTAGGTAGTTTAAAATTGACAAAATCCATTTTTGAAACTGAAAAAATTCCGACTACTTTCGGAGATATCCGGAAAAAAACGAAATTTTGCAAAATCGTTTTTATTTTTTAATGAAGTTATTTAAAAAGATATTTCGATTTCGATTATGGCCACTTTTTCCCTCTACAAGATGCTACTTTTAAATTTTAAGTTTGACGTTTCGTCTCCAGTCAACCATCATCAACTTTGTTTTTTCTTATGGAAGTCGTTTTTATTCTTTGTGTCATGTACACTTTAAACTACCTACCCTAATGCCCTCGAATTTGAATCAGCCTGTATACCAGATACGCTTTAAATTGAATTATTAGGAATGTGGTGTGGACTCCTAGTCAAATTCTTTTATTACATGCACGCAAACATTTGTGGTTTCAGGTGTGAATTTCAAATAATGTAAACGGTGGTTAGTATAATTTCCAAAAAAAAGGAAAAAAAGTGTAATTAGTCCAAGCATTTAAATGTAAATCAGAAATTATTGTTGAAGACTAACGTAGGGATCGAGTGATACTGTTTGTGACTGGTATTAAATCGCCTTTGACTCTCGAAATCTCTTAAAACATTATAAAAACTTAGATAGTTCCCTTGCCAAACATACAAAAAATGCAACGCACCTAAATTAAAGGAGTGAAAAATCTGCTTGAATTAATGAAAGTGTATCTTGTTTAAATAAAACACACTGCAAATGTTTTGAGAACGGAGACTATTTGTGTTTTATAATACAAGGAAGGATAAGATCGGATTATGGGTAGAAGCTCGCACCCTATACAGTAGCTGCTGACGTATATAGAACTAGTCATCAATGAGCATAGAATAGCCCTCGAAGCTACTATAATTACCCGACTTTACCCTCGACCAGACCCAAATAATCCGGCTATTTGGTGCCCCCTATATGTACGGGGCGATAGTACGTATATATCTCTATGTAGAGCTTTGGCTCCCCGGTTCTTGGATTAAGGTGCTTTAGGTTAGAACAGTTGATAGATTTTTGTTTAATTGAATATATAAAGCGCTACCCCATG